AACTTTGAATAATTTTGTGGCAGTTTTGAACGAGTTTCAAATATATACTTATATGAAATTACAAAGTGTGAACGAAAGAGTAAGAATAAAAGTTGTAGATACTAGAAGGAGACAACAATTTGTTTAGTGTAAAATAAATGAGTATACTAACCGATGTATTGATAGATTGTATTATGTAAAATGTTAAGGTTATGCAAATAAACAGAAATCAAAAATGCTCTATGTTTTTCATTTACTACTGAAATTGGAGATTACCAACAATCGCTTTAAAGGACACCGTTAATTACCCACTCGGTGCGCAATTTAGGAACCCGAAGTAGGCGATCCTCCAGTCGGTGCGCAGTTTAGGTAAGATTATGAAGGGTCACAGGTGGATGGTGCGCAGTTTAGGGTCGCCGAAAACTTGCACGCGCCGACAGTTTCGGTATCCACATGACATTGATTATGTTTATCTCATATCCCATTTCACGAACACCACACTATCGTCAAAAACTTAAACTATAAAATTCGACTAAGTCAAACTGTCGATAGGAATTTGGTATTGACTAAAGAAAATAAGAAGTGTCCAAGCGTCTTGTTTACTTTATAGGTATTTTATATTTACGCAGTTGTATTCAAATATAATTTGTGCGGAAGTTGGACAAAAGATATTCTTTCTATGTTAATGTTGATTATTTGATTTTAATTATGTATTTAAATTGATCCTGTGTTTTGCATGTATTTTTTTAATTATTATTTATCATATTCCCTCATTTTCTTTTCTTCCTTAAATTCGAAAATATCAGGCTATATAATTATTTATCGATCATGTACAATAGTACAAAAGTATCAGATTTGATATTAATTTACTTGAAAATGATAAACAATAAGACTAATTTCAAATTTTTATTTACAAAAGGAAGGTTTCATTTCGGAAAAGTACAATAATTATTACATGTACAATTAAGGAAACTTTTGTTTTATAACTCTTTGTTTTATACACACCAAGACGACGACCTCCGCATTTTTTCTATGTATTACACTGCAGATGTTTTGCGACAGTGTTCCAAAAAGTCTTGATTATGCTTTCCTTATATTCTGTCCCATCACAACGTCTCATATTGAAAGCGAAATCTTTTAATGTCAGAACGAGTTCCGACGCAGTTGTATGTCTTTAAAAAACATACCCTCTTGTCACACAAAAATGTTCAAATTGCCTCCTACAGATCCTTTCGATTTTTTTGTGTACTGGGGTGTTTCAAAAAAAAATATATTTTTTTTTTCGTGCAAAGAGGTTCAAAAGTTTCTTTTCAACGTAAAAAAATACCAGTTAAAATTTGAGCTCTTAATATTAATATTAAGACCGTCCGCATCGCGTTTTTCTATTTCCCATAAGAATAACATGGGAAAATTTTTTTTTGCACCTTCTGATTTTTATTGCTAGCCCGTCGTGTGTCGTGAAAAAAATTCAATCACATATTTTTATAGAGAATTGAACGCTCTACAAAAAGTGTCTCCTATGATTTTGCGAGAAACCTGATAGTTGAAGAGTTATTTTAGGCTAAAGTTAAATTTATCGCAAATTTTGACGTTTTTGATGCATTACAATAAATTTGATGGTCTTATTGGAATAAATCACCACAAAAATGTATGCCCATTTTAACTTTAGTTTTATAAATAGTAATTGTTTATAATTTTATGCTATAATAAGGTCAGTGAAACTCGATAGTTATATCGAATGTACTGAATTTTTTAAAACGTTAAAAGTAACGAATGACGTAGCTGAAAGAGGAATTGCGTTAATTGGAGAATATAACAATTATCTCACTAAGGATGAAGACCAACTACAGTATTTATTACAAGTAGTTCGAGAACATCGGCAACGTTATCCAGATTGTTTAAAAAAAAATCTTCAATAATAACAAAAATTTAAATTACATTGGATTGCTAAGTAATTTTCAAACGATTTAAAAGCCTGATTTAAAAGTAAAGTAAATAAATTTTTTATTCATACAATACCAATCGTCATTTGATTTATTCCTTCGTAAGTATTTTAAATTACTGAAGAAAAATATTTGTCTTTAGGTTAAATAAACTATGATTTTTTAACCCACTGATGCTGAAAATGTTCGGAAAGAGTTTTACTGGCCTTATTATAGCATAAAATTATAAACAATTACTGTTTAAAAAACTAAATTTAAAATGTGTATAAATTTTTGTGGTGATTTATTCCAATAAGACCATCAAATTTATTGTAATGCATCAAAAACGTCAAAATTTGCGATAAATTTAACTTTAGCCTAAAATAACTCTTCAACTATCAAGTTTCTCGCAAAATCATAGGAGACACTTTTTGTAGAGCGTTCAATTCTCCATAAAAATATGTGATTGAATTTTTTTCACGACACACGACGGGCTAGCAATAAAAATCAGAAGGTGCAAAAAAAAATTTTCCCATGTTATTCTTATGGGAAATAGAAAAACGCGATGCGGACCGTCTTAATATTAATATTAAGAGCTCAAATTTTAACTGGTATTTTTTTACGTTGAAAAGAAACTTTTGAACCTCTTTGCACGAAAAAAAAAATTATTTTTTTTTTTTGAATCACCCTAATATCTATATACGTGATGCACCTAATACTGCTATGAGTGGGTGAATCACTCTATCTTATTAAATCAATTAGGTAATTAGTTAATTAGTACACAAAAGATTAAATTAAAACCTCTTCCAGCTGCGACAAAATCTTTTCGCCGAAATAACTTCAGTTGGTGTACATCAAGGATCTAGTAATATAGTTTTTCGCCAAACGTCAAAAAAGTCCGTGTTTTTTATCCGTAGGTTTGTTTGTCGGTCTATCTGTCTGTCTGTTTGTCTGTTTGGAGTGTTTGGTGTGTGTTAATTTTTATTAACCTCCGACTGAAAAAGAGGAGTATTATAATTTTGACCCCTTTGTTTGAGTGTGTGTGTGTTGTGGTACTGGAGCTCCCAAACGAATGAACCGATTTCGATGCGGTGTTTTTTATTTGAAAGTTAGTTTACTCGGAATGTTTTTAACTACGTGTAACGATAATCACTTCAATCACTTCAAGATCATCAGCTGTTTTCTTTGCGTATCTCTGTTGTACGGTAGCTCCTAAATGGATCAACCGATTTCAATGCGGTTTCTTGTTTGAAAACCGATTCAGTCAGGAAGGTTTTTAGGAGGGTGGTTTGATGAATAACTCAATTCGCATCGTCTTGGAGGGTGAAAGAAGAAAAAGCAGTCATTGCAAATGTTTCTGTAATGTCAGGTCATTCTGTCAGTAATTATTCGTTTAGGAATTAATACTTAAGAATTAATTGAAGACTAGTGTGTGAGAAAACTTCAATTCGTAGTGTGATTAAATTCTGCTTTTTGAAAAGAAAAACTAAGAAAGAAATCCATTAAAAGATTTGTCCTACATTGAGTCATTCATATTATTTGAGTTAATGAGTTCAAGCGCAGGAGAACACCCGTTGAAGACGCACCACATTCTGGAGAACCAAAGTTTTTTTCAAGTATTACACACGTTAGACACATAATCTCCGAAGCTATTGGACCGACTGCTGTCAAATTTTGTGTGAATATTGGGAATATCATGTGGGTGGCTAATTTGGCTAATCATCCCCACCAACAAGTTGATGACGTCATCTCAAAGAATTCAATTTTAAAGTGATTTAAATGTTATTCAACGATATACTCCTTTTTTACAGGTTTGTATACTGAGTAAGGATACAGCAAACTTTTAAGGCGCAAGTTGCAAAGATTTATAAAATATTTGCTTTCAAAACTATTCTTATTATTTTTGTTACTTTTATAATATGAAAAAAAAAACCCTAAAAATTCATTCTTTATTTGAAACATATTTATGTTTTAAAGAGAAAATGATACTACAAGACCAACCAGTATTTTCTGCTTTCTATTCCGAGAGCTAATTGCTTGGCCTGAAACTAACATGACGAACTGTTGAATTAACAAATAAACTCTGTGAAGTATGTATGAATCTTTATACAATTTTAGTCGAAAATAATTAAACAACGACAAATTAATTTTAAGTTTTATTTTTGCATTATTAAGGACGAAATAAAGTTAACACCCATTAGGAATGATTATGAAAACATTTCAAAGCTTTTCTTAGTTGTCTACAATTTTTTCATTTACAAATCTACTAAGTATAAAATTTCGAGGAGTAAGTATTCCCTACTATGTGTAAGATTCATGGGTACAACCCAAAAAAATTCTTTTAAAAATATTCAAATGTTCCAAACAATTTTATAAACAATATTTTAGAATTTATCGTTGTGATCAAGATAAAAAATACCGAATACCAATTCCATAATGTGCAAAAAATGTGAGAAATATGATGAGTTGCGTTCAATATGGCTCTGTAAATGGATAATGATGATTTTTTAATAATAATGGTTTATTGGCATACAAAATTATAGTTTGTTTTGCCTCGTGAAAATAAGATTTCTTAGAAACATATACACAATTTGAACAGATTACTCACATTAAAATTATTAAATTATTTAATTATTAAAAAGTTAACTTTTTTATAATTTAATTTTATTTAAATTTTTTATTGCATTACACAGACAAATATCTTAGCACTTATTATACAAACTTAACTAATCATTGAGTTCTATTTAGACAACGATATAAAGTAATGCAAAACACAACACAAAATTCTCTGTTCCTTGCAACTGGTCACCTAACAGACTATGCGTAAGTTTTTTTTGGATTTTTTTTTAATACCAGGAACTGCCTTTGTCCATTCATTGGATCGGCGATTCTAAATTTTGATATGTCCTTTATTTATTATTGGTCCCCTAACTCCTTTTTTAAAAAATGTTTCGGCAGTTCCGCGGCCCAGTCCTACACCCACTCTTGGAGATGCCAATCAGTCTGTCACCGTATTTTTCGGAGAAATATAAATGTGTGAGTGCGACAGCGAAGTGAATAGAATTCCTACATGATGTTGACTATATGCACCCAGCTATACACTGATCATTTACACTGACGAGGTGTGTATCGTGCATTTATCAGCAGTTAGAAAATTGTGAAGGAGTAGAGGTCAGAACGTGGCAATAGTCGACTTGTGGTGACTTAAACGCGAATTTAGTAAACAACGTTATTAGCTGTCCGTATAAACTATGTGCTTTGGAAGATACGATGGAAATATGACTAGTGTCCAAGTGACTCTGTGAATTTAGGTTATTTTGTGTGCGTTTAAAGTAGGACGTCTATTTTTCCCAGGTAAAGTAAACATCGTTTTTGGGGCCAGAATTGAACGGGTTTCGGATGTGACCTTTATTAACACATTTTAATATTAACGGTTGAATCTAGTCGAGATTTTCAATTTTATCACTTTAGATAAAATTATACACTCCTTGTCGCATGTACGTATTCAAAACAATCTAAAATAGTCAACAACTGATTTGACGCTGACGTCTTACAAACAATGGCATAATTTGCACAATACCCTGCTTTTGGAATAGATAATAAATTCTAGTTAACACATTTTAATTTAGATTGAGACGTAGTGTGAGAAGTTTTAAGTCCTTTTTTTTCTTATACTTTGTTATGGGACGGAAATTTTATTTCATTCGTGTTGACGGATAATATTTATGTTTAAAACTTTACTGTTGCAATTGTCTTCAACATAGTCGTCTGCTTTGAATACAAATCAATCCGTGGATTGTTGATACGTGCACATATTAATCTTGTTTACAGTAAAGATTTAAAAGTAAACAATTTGAATCGTTACTTCGTAAAAAAGTAAGAGATGATTTAAAAGAAATATAAGTAGGTAACTCAAGTTTAAACGTTTAGAAGTTTTTATAAAAGGAGTCAATGATCTATCTAATTTTCGCAGTTATCCATAATCATGTTATTTACAAATGAAACATTAAACGGTCATAATAATATAATAAATTCAAACAATATAATATTAAATGTTAGTAAAAGAAGTGATAACTGAAAAAAGAGCACAGTAATATCATTACAGATTTAAGTAGATTACTTCCATTGTGGTATAAATTACTGTCGCCTTATCAACAAAAATATGTATTTTAGCAAAAGATTTAGATATTTTAGATACCTATAAGTTGTGGTATTATTTTTTTTTTCTTAAAAGTTTGTCATTCTTGCTGGGTGTGACAGTTAAAAATATTCATTCAGTTCTAAACTAAAAAAGATCTAAATGATCAGACATTTAGCGAGCTTAATATTTAATACGAATTATTATTATTATTGTTATAGTTATTATTTTATTAATATCATAGGATTTAAAAAATCAGTTATAAGGTATGGGCAATATACGTATGCTTATTCAATTTTCTTTTATACCCTATGTGCACTGATCACATCTCCCTTTGTTTTTTTTTAATCGCAACACATTCAATTCATGAAGTATTTTATATTTAACAACCTTATATCTGCTCAGATAAAAACGATGTTGTCAAAAATTGTTCAAAGTGAATGCTTTGTTTTACATTTGTTTAATATATTGGTACAAAAGTGATATCAAACAAAAAAAGCCAAAGCAACAAGTTACGAAATCTTAGTGTATATTACACAACAAAATTCGCATTATACAAAATAGGAGTTCCTATCAAAAAATCGAAAGAAAATCACAGTTTCTATTAATCTTACAACTTGTTAGAATAAGTTTGTTCTTAACTATTGAAAACAGTTGAATAACCGAGTTATAGCAACGCAATGGTGCATTTTTTAAACGAATTGTATGTAAGGAGGGGATTTTATTTTTATTGGAATTAATTATTGTAAAATTTTTACGTATTCGAAAATATAATGCGAGCAATTTTTTTGCTGGTTTTGCGACCCATGTTTTTTCTTTTGATATTTCTTTGCGTTTCAATTTAAAACAAATCCAGACACTACTCAAACGGATTATAAAGAACATATTTCAACATTTTACTGTTATACAGTGTGTTATAGAAAGGTACGTACAAAATAAAATCGGCAATTGGTCTCGAAATATGGGTGCTAAAAGTAAAAAAAAAAGTTCAGGTAAAAGTGTTCTTCTTTTAGAGATAAAAATGTCCAAATTCGTTGTACGCCTTTGATAGAAAGATCATCTTTCGTTTCTATAGAAACATTTAGATTTGACAAGTTTTATTGTTAGAGTTGCTAGGATTTACTAAAATAAATTAATTTTACCTATTTATCCTTCAGTAGCGTCTAAAAAGGTTGGATAAGGGTTAATTTTCTCCTTATAATTTCGATAACACAAAATAAGTTTTTCAGACTTCTTAGACTTCGCGAATAACTGTCAATTTTGTTGTACGTACCTTTCAATAACACCCTGTATACCTTATATGTTACTTCTAATTAATGTATTAAAAAAAATATGTTGGTATCTAATAGGAGTATCAGTTGCTAATTCAGATAGATGTTGAAAAAGAATTCCTTCTTCAACACTCTTAAAATACTTCATTTATGTAAAAGCTTACGTAAGTCAGTGGTGCGAGGTTTCAATGTTTTTTTGATTTTATATTATTGGATTTTTAAAAATACATATACAAATTTGGTTGTATATTTTTTTAAACTCAATTACTTTACACTAATTTTAGCCTATCTGTTCTATGAAATGAAATACTGTTACACGCGGATCCTCACGTATAATGTAAGTAACACAACTACAACTACGCGTACACGTTTATTAAAACCAACTTAAAAAATTTGATCTAAGTACAAACACAAAGTGCAATCAAACAAATCCACTCTTTTATAAAAATTACAAAATTTGATTTTACGATTTTTATTTTTTTATGATAGTCCCAACAGGCAAGCAGACGGAAACTGGAAGTCTATTTTTTTCATACTCTGGGGGTCATGAAAATTGGAGAAAAAATAGCCGTGGATCCTATTACCCTAGATCCGGAAATAAACATCAGTTTTTCATTGTTATTGTTGGAAGAAACCTTTGTACTGTCGAATCTAGTATTCATGTTTGATTACTTGCCTGAATATTTTAAAATTAATTCCGCATTTTGCAGGTTTTCATTTATATTAAAGTCTGCTGTTTGTTTTGTGTGACAAGTTTTTTGTCCTTGATGCTTGCTGGACACGATGTTAATTTAAAACTAAATTTAGTACGCATACAACTTATATCTACGTGGAAACAATTACTAGCCCTGTTCCAGGTCGGTTGACCTAGGCTCGAAAAATTATTTATTTAATTTACCCAAAAAAATGTGTAAGATCATTGAAAGAATAAGTGTTTTCTATTTCTGCCAACAATTTTCCAACATTTTGTGCCACTCTAAATTAAATATAATTCACGAATAATAATGGAATAAAATAAATGTATTCCTTCTTATTAATGGATTAATTTTTTTCTTCGTGCTCATGTTCATAAAGAAAATGACTTGACATTTTGCCGAATTAATATCAGTCAGTAACCACTGCCTTAACGTAACTTGGACATACAAACACATGTTTGTACAAGCTATCTCATTTCGTCATCAGATTTTTGGGAGGGGATAAGCGGATAAATTTTGATTAACGACTTACCACGATTGCGGCAACATTAAAACGTTTGTAAGAGTTCAGAGTATTTGGTTGTACAGCTTCAAAGTTAAATTGCAAAGTGTTACACAATATTGTGATTTTTTTAATCTGAATGTCTCGGGTAAAAAATCAAAACGGATTCATAAACCACAGCTGTAGGAGTATGTTATTTTAGAAAATGTAAAAACATTTATTATTAAAGATTTTGAGGTGATGTCATCACATTGTTGGTGGACATGATCAAACAAATGTTGGTCAGATAATATCAGACAGACGGAGACGGGAGACTTATTTTTCCGAACTCTTGGGATCATAAAACATCGAAAATCATTAAAGTAGCCATTCGACAACTGGACGCTATTACAATACTTCCTTAGCTAATGCTTGGGAAGTAAAAACGTCTAAACCCCACTGTTTTGATAAGTAAGTTTGATGGAAAAAATAATACTTTTATCCGAAACACGGAAGTATTATATACACATGTTAAACAAAAATAAACATAATAACAAGTAAAATTTATTTGTTGTAGTATTTGTTAATCTCAATGAATTCACTGCAAAAACAGATAATTTCATTACATGTGCGTAATATTGTTTTATTATTGTTATATATAATTATCAGAATTCAAATAATTTATAATTAAGTGATTGGAGATGATTTCAATAAATGACCTTGTTTGCAATTCCGGTATTTTGCATCTTAATCCTCTTGTGACGATTGTGGCAATCAAAGTCTACAGCCTTAGTATATCTCAGTATTCCACACAAATAAGAAAATAAGATGCCTGAATTTTGTTTTTTTCTTTTGGTTTTCACAAAACTCATTAAAAATCTACGAATATATTAACTTGTTATTTAAACTGTTCCGCATTATGTACATATATATCTTATGTTATGCAAGTGTTAGAACATTCATTAAATGTCAAAATTTGTGGTCTGTCTGTGTACATGGAGCAGATGTGTGATAACACTAAATTTCTAATTACTTCACTTATTAATGAATGTTAAATGAAATATTGTCGAAAAATTAGGTGCGGCGTTTTTTAATTTTATCAACAAAATAAATTGCAGATAAATTCTGAAACATATGAGGTGAATTTGATGTTCTATATTTGACACTTTTTACGACTAATGGACTGCAATAGCACGGGGCAAATTAATTATTTAAAGGAACCAATCATTTATTCGACCTGAATATTGTTATAATAATACTGTTTGTGATTATTAGGAATTAGTTCGAAGGACCAAAGTGAACACTGCGACCGTTTTTGTTGGGATTTATTCCAGAACTCTTACTACATAATTGTGTGTACAGGTACCGACTAAATGGGGTGGGTGGGACACACCCCCACCTCTCACAACCCCAGGTACCTGCTTAATATGATTGGATATGGAATTTCCAACATGCCGGCCCCGTTGAAGGTTTAACTTCAAAATAATTGGAGGGGGGCATCTGAATAATGGTACATGCTATTGTAAATTCAGAGGAGCATAAAAATATAAAATACTTATAATAATCACACGAATCTAATTCGCGAAGCACAGCCGGCAACACAAAAATCGCCATTCGCTAGGGATAATGCGCACCTTTGTCACCGCGCGTTTCACCACTCCCGTACTAGTTTTTACGGATACAACCCGCACAATTCCGTCGTGACCTGGGTGAACTTCGGCGACTCGTCCTAACCTCCACCGTAGCGGGGGCAGCCCATCCTCCACTAG